CCCCCCCCCCCGATCTGTCTGTGCCAGGCTTAACTGAGGGAGATAACGAGGGCACAGTATCGTGCGGGGTGGGCAGCCCACGTGGGTTAGTGTCTTGTGGTTTCTAGTGTGTGCTCCCTGGTTGTTCACCTAGCACACAGAGTAAAACCCAATACCGGATGCTTTTGTGGATGAATGAAGAATACCACCCAGTACCTTTCTTCTAGAAGTTTACAGTCTGGTGAAGGCGAGAGGAGATGATTAAAAAGTAGATTAAACCTGGCATTGTTTCATCAAGAGCCAAATAAGTGATGCAAATGTGACTGGGAGACCAGAGGAGGAATCCCGCATTGTGGATATAGAGTGTCTCAGCGTTGTCTCTATTAACATTTGGGGCCAGATAATTATTTGTTATGGGGGGGTTGTGTTCCGTGTTGTAGGATGTTTAGCGGGATCTCTACCCACTAGATGCCAGTGGCAACACTCCCCTTGCCCACACACACACAAGATCACACAGTGTTTGAAAGGCAGGCCCAGGATCGGACTCCAAAGCCCGTACTTTTCCCATTGTTCCCTTTTGCCTCAGGACTGGCTGGATTCATTGCCTTCCGTTGCTCTAACGGAGCTCTTTTTTTTTTCTCCTTTACAGGGCCATGCGATGATAGTGGAAGCTTATCCAAAATAATAAAGGAGAGGTGACCTGGAGTTTCTGCGCAACACTCGCACTAGGCAATGCCATTCCAATGCATTACTAACTGACTTCCTTAGTTCCTATCTCCTCTTAGGAAAAGACAATTTGTGGCCTTCTGTTCAATACTTTGCAATTAAGCCTTGCTAGTATTCTGAGCTTTTCAGTAATCACGGCTTACTACTCTTTCAGGGATTTCTTAATCAGCAGAATCTCTCAGTGTTATGTTTAAACAGTTGTTTGGGGGCTCTGTTTTCATTAAATACTTAAATGAGTGGTTGCAGTTCAGGAGAGAGGTTCTCTGAGATTTGGAATCATCTTTGTAACATTTGCAAAGTATACTCCTTCCTATTTGTGACCTAAAGATGCGTGTTTTCTATAAAATACAAACCAATGTGCCTAAAGAAACTTAATTATGGAAAGGTAATTCAGAGTTTAAATGTCACTGAAAACTTACAGTAAATGTTTAGATATATAAGTACCCTGTTACACTTAATAAAGTGAGGGAGTATTGAAGAACTGTTTGCCTTAGTTTTTACCAGAGGTAAAGGGTGGTTCCCTTGGCTTGGGGGCAGATTTTGCCTTTAATTACTCATTTGTAACTTTTAGCCATTTTAGTCAGTCATGTGGCTGCTAGGGGTATAAAGAGGGTCCTGCTTTAGAATAACACCTTTTTGGGGCTCCTGGGTGGCTCATTCGGTTGAGCATCCAACTTCTGCTCAGGTCACGATCCCAAGGTTCGTTGGGTTCGAGCCCCGCGTTGGGCTCTGTGCTGACAGCTCAGACCCTGGAGGCTGCTTCTGATTCTCTGTCTCCCTCTCTCTCTGCCCCTCCCCTGCTCATGCTCTGTCTCTCAAAAATAAATAAATGTTAAAAAAAAAACAAAAAACCATTTTAGAATAACACTTTTTTCCCCATTGCTCCTTGGGGGTAAATTTATTTCACTGTTTGGAGATGTCTCTGCCAGGATTTAAGTCAAGTGTAAAGAAATTTTATAAATAAAAACATTAAAAACCTTTTTAAAAAAGGGGTGCCTGGGGGCGCCTGGGTGGCGCAGTCGGTTAAGTGTCCAACTTCAGCCAGGTCACGATCTCGCGGTCTGTGGGTTCGAGCCCCGCGTCGGGCTCTGGGCTGATGGCTCAGAGCCTGGAGCCTGCTTCCGATTCTGTGTCTCCCTCTCTCTCTGCCCCTCCCCCGTTCATGCTCTGTCTCTCTCTGTCCCAAAAATAAATAAACGTTGAAAAAAAAAATTAAAAAAAAAAAAAAGGGGGTGCCTGGGGGGCTCAGTTAGTTAAGTGTCCGACTTTGGCTCAAGTGATGGTCTCACAGTTCATGGGTTTGAGCCCCACGCTGGGCTCTGCTGACAGCTCCAGGCTGGAACCTGCTGCGGATTCTGTCTCCTCCTCTCTCTCTGCCACCCCTCCCCCCCGCCTGCCCGCCGTTTGCGCTCTCTCAAAAATAAACCTTAAAAAAAAAAATGGCCTGTGTTGAAATAAGAACTTTTGTTTATGTGACAGAATGGAAAGACAAACCACAAAAGGGACAAAGATACAGATACATCCTACAAAGGAGATACGTCTCTCTCTCTCTCTCTCACGATCTATGTCACCTTGATATAGATCTATCTTTCAAGCGATCCAGGTTATATGAAGAATTCCCGTACATCAGAAAGAAGAAAGATGACTTACAAAATAATGGGCAAAACATATGAACCGGCATTTTTTAGAAAATAATGTAGAAATGGAGAATAAACATGAAAAGAGGCTCATTAGTAATGAAAGATCAAATTAGGATCATAATGAGCTATTCTTTTATACCCATCAGGAAAAATGAAGACTCAATATCAGGTGTTGATGAGGATGTGGAACAATAGGAACGAAAACCCACCACTGGTGAGAATACAGATTGATATGAACCACTTGGAAAACAGCTTGGCATCTTGCACATTTGCATAGGACACACGGTCTGTGACCCAGCACAGGAATGCCAGGAGACGCGTGCAAGAGAGTGCATAGCACCATTCATTGCTCTTTAATAGCAAAATATTGTAAATAACAAATGTTCATTGACAGGACAGGTTCAAAAACAGGCAAAACTTAAGTCTGTTTCTGAGATGCCTACATATGAGATAAAAATGTTTTCTAAAACAGTTAAGGGAAGAGAAAAGAGGTCTTTCATACAGAAGAATTCCAAATAATACGTGTAGACTCTGTGCTCCAGGAAGTGGGACATGTCCGTCCTCGGTTGAGTGTGGGCTGGACTTCATGTCTCAACTCCAGCAAATAGAGTATGAGAAGGGAAAACAAGGCATCTTTACAGTGGAGAAACATGGCAAGCACTAATTTCACTAAGTGACCAAGGTTAACATCAGTGCTGGCATGTAGATACCACATACTTCGGCATAATGTGATCAAAGGGGCACTTCACTTCAGGGGTATTCTTTCCAAATACCCATTAGCCCAGTTGGGTCATAAAAAAAACATGCAACACAAACTGAGGAACATCTACACAGAATGTGTTCAAAACTATCAAGTTCACAAAAAATAAGAGAATACGGAGAAACTCAGACCAGAGGAAGCTAAGGAGACATGACAAATGTACTATGGTATCATGGGTTGGATTTGAAACAGAAAAAAGACATTAGTGGAAAGATCTGGAAATAATGGTGTTTTGTTTTTTACCTTTTTATCCTCTTTAATCCTATAATCACAAAATAAGAAAAGTTTAGATTTCAGTTGATGTTAAAGTCCGTTTCTATTTCTAGTGGCTTTTAAAAATTTACATACTAGATATATATTTTGTAAAAAATCAAATGAATACTTATAGGCGCGCCTGGGTGGCTTAGTTGAGCATCAGCTCTTGCCTCTGGCTCAGGTCGTGACCCCAGGGTCGCAGGATTGAGCATTGGGCTCCACACTGAATATGGAGCCTACGTAGGATTCTCTCTCTGTCTCTCTCTCCCCCTCCCTCCCTCCCTCTGCCACTCTTTTCTGCTCACTTGCATTTTCTCTCTCTGTCTCTAAAATAGTAAAAAAGAAAATGTCATTGCCAATCCACTGTACGTACTATAGGGGAAAAAAAAGCATAGCTTGAGATTGATTTTTCTGTTAACTCATTCACTTTAGTAGACCAGTCCCAGTGACCATCTGAAGTATATGAAACTCAAAGACTTACAGGCTCTTCAGCTCTTCCTCAGACTCTGGTTGCTACTGGTCACTAATACTGTCAAAGATGGACTTTCAGACACATCTTTCCTAAGGTTCAAAAATGGCACCTGGGTGGCTCAGTCGGTTAAGCCTCTGACTCCTGATTTAGGCTCAGGTCATGATCTCACATATCCTGGGCTCAAGCCCTGAGTTGGGATTCTCTCCCTTTCTGCTCCTCCCCCGCTCATGCACACGTGCACTCCTGTGAAGGACCTCTGTCAAGCGTTTGTTTTCTTGTTCAAGTTGAAATGTTTGTTCCGGTACCTTGCACCCCCGTTGCTTATCAGTTTCAATGGCTTTCCTCATTACTGCTGTCATTTCCGTTATCTGATCAACATGCAGTTGGAATTTCTGATTTGCTTCCAAGTGCCTCCTCTCCGGTCCATGTTGAGATGTTTCAAAGATGTGTCAAGATGCATCAAGGAGGACTCCAGAGCTGTTACAACAACCCATGTCAGTCTGGGAGTGCTGCTCTTTTGACTTCATCATTATATCCAGATCGTCTTTTTTGCTAGCCGTTAGCAGTCTAACTATGGATGTTCTTCCAGGGATATATGCAATTCTTTGTTCTTTGGTTGTACTTCTCTGATTTGTCTGCCTTCTTGCTGGATTCCCATAACCAACGTGGACTGTGGCCAATGTCTTGCAACTTCGTTAAGTTCTTGAATTTCTTCCTGATCCTGCTCATCACGTCTGCTCACTTGTTAAGAGCGGTGGTTTGCTCGGTCGGAGATTCTGCTGTGTCATCACAATCTCTCAGTCTTTCAGCAAGCGCATCAGCATCAGTGAGTGCCTTGTCAGTTGTGCAACTCATTTCTAAAGGAGTATTCTGGTCTCCCTCCTCCATCAGCTGTGGTGTTAGGACCCAAAGCCTCTGCTAACTGGGGCCCACGCGCCCAAGGGAAGAGACTCCTCTCGCCTGTTCAGCTTCTTCAGCGAGCAGACGCAGAACCCAGCAGAGGCAGTCAGTGGAGGGGCGGCTGGAGGGGGCAGCAGAGCTGAGCCCCATCACTGGCCCAAGGAGAACCTTCTGGAGATAAGTTGGTTTTTGTTTAAGCCCAGAAATAAATCTGATGTGGTCCAATGATTTTTGGCAAGAGTACTAAGACCGTTTAATGGAGAAAGGACAGTCTTGTCCGCGAATGGTGTTGGGAAAATGGGCCACCTGCAAAAGAATGAAAGTTGGACCCTTACCTTACACCATGTACAAAAATTAACTCAAAGTGGATCAAACACCTAAACATAAGAGCTAAATTGATAAACTTCTTAGAAGAAAACAGGAAAAGCTACATGACATTAGATTTGGCAGTACTTTCTTGGCCGTGACACCAAAAACACTGGCAACAACAACAACTAAATAGGTTGGACTTCATCAAAATTAAAAATTTCTGTGCATCAGGGGCGCCTGGGTGGCTCAGTTGGTTAGGCATCCGGCTTCGGCTCAGGTCATGATCTCATGGTCCGTGAGTTCAAGCCCCGCGTCAGGCTCTGTGCTGACAGCTCAGAGCCTGGAGCCTGTTTCCGATTCTGTGTCTCCCTCTCTCTCTGCCCCTCCCCTGTTCATGCTCTGTCTCTCTCTGTCTCTAAATAAACGTTAAAAAATTTAAAAAATAAAAAATTTCTGTGCATCAAAGGGCAACCTATGGGAGAAAATATTTGCAAGTCATATATGATAATATCCAGAACATACAAAGAACTCTTACAACTCAACAACCAAGAAATAACCCAGTTTAAAAATGGGCAAAAGATTTAAATAGGCGTTTCTCTAAAAAATATATACAGATGACCGATAAGCACATGAAAAGATGTTCAATATCACTAGTCAACTAGTTCAACATCATTAATCAAAACTACACCGAGATACCACCTCACATCCATCAGGATATCTGTTACCAAAAAACCAGAAAATAGGGGCACCTGGGTGGCTCAGTCTATTGAGCATCTGGCTTCGGTTCAGGTTATGATCTTGTAGTTTGTGAGTTCAAGCCCCGCGTCGGACTCTGTGCTGACAGGTCAGAGCCTAGAGCCTGCTTCTGAATCTGTGTCTCCCTCTGTGCCCCTTCCCTGCTCGCTCGCTCACTTGCTCTCTCTCTCAAAAATAAATAAAAATATTTTTTTTAAAAACCCACAGAAAATAGCACACGGTGGTGAGGATGTAAGAGAAACCAGAGCCTTTGTACGCTGTTGGTGGGAATATAAAATGGTCCAGCTGCTATGGAAAACAGTATGATCGTTCCTCAAAAGATTAAAAATAGAATTATTATATGATCTAGCAACTCCATGTCTAGGTACGTACCCCAAAGAATTGAAAGCAGGGATTTGTGCACCCACATTCATAGTGGCATTATTCACAAGAGCCAATAGGGGAAAGCGACCCGAATGTGCATTGACAGCTGAATGTGTGTATACGTATACACACGGTAGAGTACTATGCAGCCGTAAAAAAGGGAGGCAGTCCTGGCACGTGCTACAACATGGATGAACCTTAAGTGAAATAAACCAGT